ACATGGCCAGGAATTTGAGCTCTTCATACCAAAGTGACACTTCTGCGGTTTGAGTGTAAGATCTGCTGATTGAATAGCCTGTAGCACACTCCTGAGGCGATGAAGATGTTGCTGGAAGGTTTCAGAAAAAACGACATCATCATCAAGGTATACGAGGCAAGTTTGCCACTTCAGACCAGTAAGCACAGTGTCCATCATTCGCTGGAAGGTTGCGGGCGCTGAGCACAAACCAAAAGGAAGGACACGAAATTCATACAGGCCATCAGGATAACAAAGGCCGTTTTCTCGCGATCTCGCTCGTCAACCTCGATCTGCCAGTACCCGCTTTTTAAATCCAAAGAGGAAAAATAGTGGGGCGCGGCGTAATCTGTCTAACGAGTCGTCGATGCGTGGCAGCGGGTACACGTCCTTTTTAGTCACGCTGTTCAGCTTCCGGTAATCGACGCAAAAGCGTAGCGTTCCGTCTTTCTTCTTGACCAGGACGACCGGAGAGGACCACGCACTGTTGGAAGGCTCAATGATGCCGTCGTCAAGCATTTCTCGAACTTGCGTACGAATGGCTTCTCGTTCCTTCGCTGACACACGGTAAGGCTGTTGGTGTACTGGGCGGCGTTCTTCGTAAGTGATGATTCTGTGCCTAGTGATCGAAGTCTGGCGCACCTTAGAGGAAGTAGCGAAGCATGACTTGAATTCAAGCAAGAGTTTCGCAGTGCTGTCTGGTTTTCTGGTGTGAGGTTAGAATTAATATCTATATTGTTTAGAGACGTATGGCGGCCTCCACGGCGTCCGACGAGAAGCAGATGGGAACGGTACCTAATTCATCTGCAAAGGCTAACGAAGTGCCACGGAAAAGGTGTCGGTGTTCGTTACTGAAATTTGTAACGAGCAGTTGAGATCGGCCATCACGTAGCTGTATGATACTCCTAGCCCACACAACACCTGAGTCAGCAGGTGTTTCAAAATTACTTTCTGCAATCGCTTCACCATTTCGCAATCCACAGCATGTGACGTCGACAATAACACTGGCTCTTGGAGGAAGCGTTATACTTTCAGCAGAAACACGAAGAATGTCGGCCGTTGTTGGTCGTCCTGCTTGTCGATCCCTCGGTCGGCTGAGAAGGTGATGCGATTCTCTTGAAGGTCAATGACGGCTCCATACTCCTGCAGGAAGTCAACACCAAGAATAACGTCGCGTGAACATTCACGGAGCACAAGGAAACTTGCTACAAAAGTATAACCGCAGACCCGAACTCTACTCGTTCAGGTTCCAAGCGGAGAGACGGTGTGGCCACCAGCCGTTCGAATCGCAGAGCCATGCCAGGGCGTGATTACCTTCTTAAGTAGTCTGGTCATTTTCCCGCTTAGTATAGAATAGTCAGCCCCGGTATCAACTAAAGCACCTACTGCATAGCCGTCTATCAGCACCGGTATATCCAGAGAAAGCCGCACATATCGCTCAGTCGAATCCACACCCTTTACTGTTAGCGTCGATCGGAGGTCTTCAGCACGTCGACTGCCAGCGACCTCGCCTCAAGGGTCGCTTGCGTTAGTTTTCCCGGCGGGGACTGGGGGACCGTGCGCCAACCTGGCGCTGTGGCGAAGATGAAAAGCGCTTCGGCGACGGTGAGCGTGGCTGCCGTCCAGAAGGCGGTGGCATGCGCTGTTGAGCCAGGTAATCCTCAATGTCCCGGGGTCGCTGGCCATACCGAGGAGGCGCTGAATATACTGAAAAGCCGCGCAGCCCGAGGCGCCGGTATGGATACTGGCGGTACAAATGGTCCGCTTCACCGCAGTGGAAGCACAAAGGTCGGCGATAAGGAGTGCGCCAAACATCAGATTTCCGAGGCGAAGCACGTCTGTCGTCAAGGTAGTGTGCTGGTTGTTCCGCAAGCTGCACAGGGCTGGCGTAAACGAGGGTGGGGGCGTGCGTGTGTTCTCGTAGTACCGTAGAGGCTGCGCCGACTGAAGTGAAACTGTAGGAGGTGCCTGAACAAACAGCGGGGAAGAGGAAGCTGGGCGCTTCAAGGATTCCGCATAAGTCGCACGGTAGTAGTCAGCCGGGGTGGGTGTGGCGTTATCCAGACTCACAGGGTCACGCAAGGCATGATGCGGCTCGTCCTTGACAATACTTGCAATAGAACTCACCGTAGGTAGTGGTGGTGTGGCAGCCTTTTGCAGCTCCTCACGTACTATAGAGCGGATAAGGGTCGCGCAGACACTCGGTGTTGCTCCCAAATGTCGTCAGAACTTGAGCAGTGGACGTGTTCACTTGCCGCTCATACAGGGTGGATCGATGCTGAAGCATCTTTTCCATCGTGACGGCTTCAGACAAAAACTCGGCGACCCGTGTTCGGAGGGCTCCGTACAAGGCCAGCGAAAAGCTGCTCCTTAACTCCCCGCATCAGGTGACGCAACTTCTTCCTTCTGTCATACTTGGATCAGCCGTCGGAACAGACGCGTTATATCTTCCACATAGGTCATGACAGTTTCGTTGGGCATCTGGATGCGGGCCTGGACGCTCGCTCCGCTCGTTTCGTGGCGATCAGCACTTCTGTAAGTGTCCAACAGCGGCGGCGGAATTCGGGCCACGATGTCATCTGTTCCTCGTGATTCATGTACCAGGTACGTGCTCCATCCTCCAACTAGAAGTAAACACGCCGTAGTTTGGCCGCGTCGTTCCAGTCGTTCAAAGCAGCCACGTGTTCGAAGTCGACCAACCAGTCTTCGACGTCTTCGAGCTCGGTGCCATGAAACGGTGTCGGAACCTGTGGAGTTTCGAGGGTGTACCGAGTCACCGGGGGGTTTCCCGTACCTGTTAGAGTGGTTTGAATGGACGTGCTCATCATACTTGTGTGAACTGTAGGGTCAGCTTCGGGTGGCAATCCCCTGATCCTGCGGCTTGTCCGATGAACGGTAGTGTGGACTCGCACTGGGCTTGTGGTGCCGCTTCCAGGAGGGGTCTGAAACATCTGTGAGGGGCTACCTCGCACCTCCACCAATTGTCACGTCGCTCCAGGGGGTGTCGACAAGGTTTATTGATGTCAGAGCAACAGGGCTCTAACCAAGCGCGTCGATTGGGCTTGTTTGCCAGAGCGGGGGTCCACGCGCACTTCTTTCTTCTCTGTGGGTGTGCCTTCACCTTGGCATACGACCCACTACTAGAAGTAAGTGGCAATATTCATGTGGCTTTGGTAACTCTTGTGGTGAAGCCCTCGATGCGAAATATTCATCCCGGCGAAGAAGTCCGACATAGCCGTTGCCCCCTTGCCGATACTGTTGATGGCCTTCATGGCACGCATATTAACTTAAAACGGCCTTATTTTGCGTCGGTCTCGTCGGCTATACGTGGGGACGAAAAATGCTCTTCGCGAAAGTCACAACTGCCGCACGTGACTATGAGCTTTAAACACAGCCCGTACTCTTTCTTGGCCTTTGAAATAGTGACGCTTCTTTCACCGCATTTTGGGCACGCGACAAGTCCAAATAACGAGCGTATTGCCGCCAGATCAACAATAATAAATTCTGTCCCGTTTTCTTTGCCACCATCCTCCAGATCAATATCTAGTAACTCGAACTTACGTTCGATCGCGCACTGCGATGCGAGTGATGCCTTCAAGCCCGCTGCATTTCTTGCGCACTCAGCAAACTCGTCCGCTGAATAAAACGCCGTGTCAATGCGGTCTAGAATGCTGCTGGAAGTGCAAGATGACGATCTGACGACGACACAATCCGATGAAGTGCTGCTGCAAGGCGCAGGAGAGTGCACCACTTCAGACACAAGCGGCCGCGGCTGCACGCCGTCATTGGAATGCGCCGCTTCGGCGACATCGGGCGAAATCGGCTGCAAGTTGTCGGCTGCTTTCTTCTGGCGGGATTTCTACGGGCGCCTCCGTTCCTTGCCGTACGCTTGGCGTGTCTTCTTCTTTAGGCGAGCGTCTCCAATCATGCCGGCAAAAGACGGAAAGTCGGTGTGTCGGTCGCGTAGCACAAGCAGGCACGTGCGAGAAGCAGATGAACAACGTGCGCGAAAGGGAACCGGGCGGCCGATGAACAATATACAAAAAAAAGCGCGGGCAACTTTGGCCGCATCAGCCAATGGAAAGTGAGGAACAGGGGGCTCGCCTAGTGCGCGCGCGCTCCGGCTAATCAGCGGCCTGGAAGGGGGGCTCCGGAAAAGGGGCAAGGGCAGCCGTTCTGTTTAAGTGACGCCATTTTGAAGGGTGGCAAAATGCGCACAAAAGAATCAGCTTCAAAACAAGCCCAAGATGGCGGCGATCGGCCGACTGCCTCGCCGGTGGCGCGCGCGGGAAGTTTGAGCGAATTTAATCTGCCGTGGGTTGTTTTGCGGCTACCGTGGCGACTTCATAATCAATTTTAATCCATTTACTAATTGAATTCAGTGTTCACAATTTGAGGACACGTGCTTATAGGTCTAAAATTTCAAATATCGCATTTTCTCAAAATCGACATTTTGGCCATTTTTCACCATTCTAAGACCCGCGTCCCCCCTAATTCGAATTTATTTTCAATCGAATTCCGGAGGAAATCGTAATGTTTGTTAAATTTCCTATTTTCGAAGTGCTAAACAACAATGCGTGTCCGACCGGCACCCAAGGGCATCGCAGTTGACCACAGCGCCGCAGCTCAAAGCGTCAGCTGATGGCATCGCAGTTGCATGCAGCGCCCCAGATCAAGAAGCGTCTGCTTCGGCGGTTCCGTTCCGGGCCTCATTGTTGATCTCGTTACGGTCGTGTGCGGACTCAGCGTTTCCATGTGCGACAAAAATCCACGTGCATTTACTATGGCAACTCGCGAGCCTTATCAGACGCTTGACATGGCGATGAAAGTCAAAGTTTTGAAAGAAGTTGAACAAGGAGCAACCGCCAAGCAAGATATTGCGCAGAAATACGGCATCAAGCCTAGTACCCTGTCTAACATTCTGAAGAGCAAGCGCTCGGTTCGCATTCGAAAATGACCAGTTCAAGACGTCTCGCAAGAGAATGCGCACCGGCGCCCACCCGGAGTTAGAGCAAGCGCTGCTCATCTGGATTCGGGAGGCTCGAAGCAACAGACTTCCTCTCAGCGGTGATATCGTTGCAGCGAAAGCGTCATCGCTTGTGATTATGCTAGGAATCGAGAACTTTGCTTCGTCCGATGGGTGGCTCACACGGTTCAAGCAGCGCCAGGATATGGTGTTTAAAAGCGTTAACGGGGAAAAGGCTGCCATCAACGCTGAAACATGTGATACGTGGAGGGAAAATCAGCTTTGTAAATACTTGGGAGTATATCGGCCGGAAGATATCTTCAGTCCCAACGAGACAGCACTTTTTTACAGAATGTTGCCCGAGAAAACGCTGACCTTTAAGGACGATGACTGTGCTGGAGGGAAGCGTAGCAAAGAAGAGTGTCGGTGCTGATAGCGGCGAACATGACAAGCACTGAGCGATGTCGCCTGCTTGTGATAGGCAAAGCTGCTAATCCTAGATGTTTCAAGGGCGTGAAAACGCTGGCAGTCGACTACGCGTCTAACAGGAAAGCGTGGATGACCGCAGACCTATTCAAGGATTGGCTGACAAAATTGGATCGCAAGTTCGCGTTATCTAAATGCAATGTATTGCTCCTTGTGGACCAATGCAGTGCACACATGAATGTGCCGCCCTTGAGTGCAATACGTGTCGCCTACCTGCCAGCGAACACTACATCGGTGTTACAACCACTAGACCAGGGGATCATCAAAAACGTGAAAGTACTGTACATGAAGCATCTTCTTGAGCGGTTGCTTTTGTGTATGGACAGTGCAAGTCAGTATGAGGTGAGCTTTATCAGTGCTATTCATATGCTGGCGCGAGGATGGGATGAAACCATTGCGAACTGCTTTAGGGCGTGCGGCTTCATTCCAAGTGGTGCAGATGATGATGGGTCTTGTACAGTGGAGGAAGAAGACACAAGTGAGCTTGACGTTCATGGTCTCCTGCCAGCTCTTGGCGACGTCCCTTTCAAGGATTACATTGCCACTGACAGTTCGGTAGAAACTTGCGGTGCACTGTCGGACGCTGAGATCGTTGAGATGGTTCGGCCCAGCGAGCCTAGTCACGAAACTGAGGTTGACGGTGACGACGCCGCAAGTGAGCCACTACCGCGGGCTGCTGATGTAGCCACAGGCCTTGCCCTCGCCCAGCGGTTTTTCACTGCTGAGAGCAAGGCTGAGGAAGCGCTCGGGCACATATACAGCCTGCAGGACTTGCTTTCTGCTGCAAGATTCAGCAAACAGAAGCAAACAGCAACCACAGATTTTTTCTCATAAACTGCTTTGAAATAAATGTATTCTTCGTTCATTGTGGTTAATTGGAATTTCGCTTAATTTGAAGTTTTTCACTGTCCCCGTGAACTTCGTATTAACGAGAGTCGACTGTATACGTAATCACGTTCACCTACTAGACAGCGATCCGGGAAGTCACCTCATGCGCTCTTTGTCATTGAACGTTAACCTTAAACAATGCACAATAAAAGATCAACTACCTCTGTAAAGACATGTTTCACTTTCGTGTTATACCGATTCCTACGTAGGGGGATGAGCGACATTTCTTCTCTGAAGCATTTTGTGTCCCGTTTTCAGACTTGTAAAAGCAATAAATTCACCGAATTTCCCCATTATTTCTTTTGTAAGTAGAATTACTTTCACTAGCTATAGCCCTTTGTTATGACAGTCTATAAATGCGAGTGTGTAATGAATAAAAGATAAAGTGAAGCATAAATTTTGATTCACCCAAACTAACCAAATCTCCTATGTAATGAAAAGCCAATATGTTGGCAGTGCTACAAGTGTCATATATGCTATTCATTTTGTTGTCAAAAACAAATACTACTAGAGTGGATTTTAATCGGATTTGTGCTGCTGCCTTCATACTTGTGTGTGCACTTCACAATGTTTGAACAATAGACAAAATGAGTAGACAGGAATGTTTGAAGAATAGACAAAATGAGTAGGCAGGAAGGGATAGATGGGATAGTTGTGAAATCGCACACGTCCTGTCTACTTCTTTCATGTATCGCCATAAAGAGCACACATTTACAAACATGCATCCCTATCAACTCACTCAAGCTTACATTCCAATACTGCCTTCGTGTCAGCAACAGGTAGACCAGTGACAACCTCCTTTTTTGACGGTTGGTTGATGTGTTTATGTAGTTTCTCTAACCTTGGCATGGCTGAATCTTTCTATAGAAACATCATGCCAAATTCTGCCACGGACTACAGCCCATTTTCAGTGCGGATCAGGCCAGGAAAGCACCGCGAAAGTGCTGGTAGCAATAAGCCGTTCAACCCTTCTGTGACTGGCATCTCGTCCACCATGTCCACTTCCAGCGGTGCCAGCGACTAGGACAGCTCAGTTTCAAGCGAGGCAGACCCAGAGTTTATGGTTGAGAGTGACGAGTCATCCTCAAATGACCTGTCGCAAATTCTGGCTACAGTCCTGGCAACCGCAGTCAAGATTGTTCAAATAATTGCTATCCCATTAAAAACAAAATGGATCTTGCTTTCGCGTTGGTATGCATAAGGTACCTTGTAAGATATTTATTTTATGCACTGCTCTCTGGAGGACATAGTAGGGGTTTTTTAAAGTATAAACAGAACGCTGTAGCCACATAATATACTGCTGCAAAAAAGAAATGAAGTTTTTTAAATTGTGTAGTTTTAGCACAAAGATGAGTGCCGGAAAAGGTTGGCTTTCCGAGACTAGCTGAATGACGTCATATTAAGCCTAGCAGTATAATCAGTCATGAAGAAAAATACCTTTTTTTATATTTTTAAAGTCATCTTAGGGAAATGCACTTGGGATTGTGAGAGTTTTTAGTGGGATTGTGAGAGTCTTTGGTGTTGTACATCTCAGCATTTGCCTACCATATCTGCTGATAACCACTTAGGTGTATTCATATTGTTATTTCAAGAAGTACAATTTTATTCGATCAGTATTCTGTGTGTTTGCTTCGAAAATAATCATGGAACCAGTTTTTCTAGAATTGTCAATAACATCACACTAATATTCTTGCATCATCAACTGAAATAGCGAGTGCTTCTAAGATGAATGACTCCGTGAAATTTGAAATTAATCTAAAATTTTTAGCTCTTCACAAGAGCCTGAGAATAATTCTTCATGTCCTTGAATCTAAATGTAACTTGCTCCTTCTCCAAGATTTCAAGTTAGCTGCTCCAGATTGCTTCAAAATGAAAAAATTTGCTGCCCAAAGTGCTCCAAAATAGAAAATTTTGCTGCTCCAAAGTGCTCCAAATAAAAAATTTTGGTGCTTCGAAAATTGCTCTTATTCGGAAGACGTCAGTGCCACCACTGTGATACGCCACGTCCCTGCAGCTTGTACTTACCGCTAGGATGCATTGTTACGGCGAATAAACACGTTCAAACCCCGTAAGCGGTAGTGCACAAGTTCAAAAATATTTTTCTCGCTTAAAGCAAAAAAAATTGCTAAAACTTTCTGAGTGAGTAGACAATGAAAGTTGCTACTAAATCTGCTATTGAGCATATTTGAATAGAACCACCTTAATGTTGAATTCATGGCCAAACATGTGCAAAACTGAACATTTTTGCTACTTTGTCACCACCTGTAAACTTCATTTCGTACTGTATATACCTCAATTTATTTTTGTTCTAAGTAAAACATTCTGGCTATATGCTAATGTTAATTATCACATTTCGCCTGATGTTGTCTTTCTATGAAAAAATCCTCAATATGGACTAAATTCTTTAATCTTGAGTTCACATAAAAAATTCATGGTAGCGTAAAAGATTGGAAACCTAATTTTAGGTAAAGCGCCTACCATTGCTCTAAAGGTGAAAATTTGTCTTAACCTAATTTAGAAACAACAGATTTGTCGACAACATGGTTTACGAGGTAGGGTTTCGAGCTTTTCAAAAAACTTCACATGAGGCTTGCGGTACTCGAAAATTGTTTTTGCGAAAAATGCTTAAAGAGAGCACTTTTGGCTTTAAATAGTTCGGAATTTTTTTCAAGTAAATCGCAGATGGTGGAGCGCCAAGGCTGCGAAAGTTGACGTGGAATGACCCTATTATTATTACCGATGCAAAAGCAAACGTTGTCAGCTACGCACTTACTGCTGGTATATCGCGTTTCACGGGTAGAGCTGGGTAACTTCATGTAAGTTTCTCGTTTCAGTTTCTTGATTAAAATTGTGATTAGTCTTTAGTGTTATGTCCATAGTGGAGTACACAAACAAAGGTAACACGCCCGCATCTGTGATAACTATGTGAAATTGAGGAAGCTGTTGTGACCAGAGAGATTCCTTCTTGTCAGCACATATGGAACGTCATAGCTTTAAACACTACCCCTATCTTTCATTGCAGGCGTCTGAGAACTTTGCAAACTCTAAGCGCCGGAGCCCAGAGAAATAAAACATCAAAATGCATGTGCTCGTCATAGAAAAAGAAAGAAAGCAAGAAAGAAAAAAATTGAAGCAGCAGGAGAATAATTTGGGCGATACAACTACAATACAACCAAAGAGAGAAAATTATGCAGCGTAGCTCCGTTCTTGTGACATGGTTAGTCATTCAGGGGTGCAACAGCTGCTCCAATTGTGTCAATTTGGTACAATTCTAAATTGCTGTGCCAAAACCGTGAAATTTGCTAAAATCGCACCGCGCTGGCCCAAAATGCCCAGCCAGCCTCAAAATTTTTTTCAGGTGGGGTAACTTCGTCAAGAAATGCAGGCCACATCACCCACCAGCAGCTTGCATCTTCAGTCAAAGCACGTAAACCTGAACTATGGTGCCTAAAATATGCTTTAAATATTCTAGGCACCCGGCCTACGCTCGTGAGACACGATCGAACAAAAAAAGTAACAACGCTGCGTGCCCATCGGTGCGGTGACTGCAACGCATACCTATCAACGGGCGACAGAACTTCAAGACAAAAATGAGTTGCTGTAGCCATCAACGCTTCACGGGAATGTAAATTACCTAGCCTGAAAACGTGGCTATGGCTTGTTAAGATTTAAAGCTGGAAACGTGTGCCGCATTTTCCTTGCGCAAACAAGCTCGACATGCTCCAAATGCCGGCGTTGCCAGTGACCACGTTGAGTGCCTTAGCAGTGGCACATAAAACATTTATTTTTGTCTTGAAGTTGCGTCGCCCCTGCCACGGTCCTGGCGATAGATATTCGGTACCGTTGCCGAGCCAACAGGCGTGCGCCGCTGTTACTTTACCTGGTCGAACGGGACTTGAAAGTGAGCCGAAGTGACACATAACCCTATTGTGGAAAAAAAAAGGGGGGGGGGGGTGAGAAGTGGGGTGGTGGGTAGCAGTTGGGAAATTTTCTTGGCTTTAGTTTTAATGTTACTTGAACCATTTTCGCTGTAGTACACAGGTGCCTTGCAGAAAAGCATATTGAGATTTAGAAGGGGCTGTTAGCGCTAGTGGGACATTTCAAATTTTGCTCAGTTACTGATGCGTTTGTACGCCGTACAATTCTTAGTACCAGTATAGTTATTGACGTTTAAATAAGCCACTGGCAATCATTTGAAGCAGTGTATGAGATTTCTGCTTCCATACCTTAAAAAAAACTAAATTGTGTGTCAGTTTCTTTTTTTTTGCCACCCCCACTTTTCGGTTTAACAAATCTCCCAAATTTCAAGGTCATGAGCTTGGTAGATTGATATTTCAGGGTGCGTACAGATTTTTGAAATCTTTGAAAACCCTTGATTTGAAAAATGCATTTTCAAGGTACTTGAAAGTCCTAGAATTTTTTGCCATCCTTGAAAATCCTTCAATTTCATGAACACTGCCCTCTCATATTGACATCGTGACCTCGGAAATGTGGTAGATCAACGCGTCAACCTGTTAAACTATTCATTTTCGAAGCAGTAATGCGGCGTGGGCGCACATGGTCTTATTTTGCAAAAGTACTTGTGAAAATAAAAAGTTAGTTTTGTGGCGAGGGTGAAGCAGTGAATGCGATAGCAAGAAACTAGAATGTCACACGAAGAAGATCTAGCAACTTCATACATGCAATGCGCCGCTGAAGCAAAAAGGACGCACGAAAAGAAAGAAGCCCAAGACGAATGCTTATGAACAACCATTACAGCTCGACTCTGGAAGTGTGATGCTCAAATGCCTAGAAAGATGCTAGAAAAGAACACACATGTATCCACAGGATGAGTGTAAATTAACCACTGTCACAGTTGTCACTTCGTGGTTGTTGAGTAAAGTTACTTCTTGGTTGTTGAGCGATTTCAAGTCACTTTCCAAGTGTACCTAAACGTTCATTCTCAT